TTTTGGTTACCTCACTCTCTTGCAATAATACCATTTTGTACATCTGGAGGGATTTATATGCCAGTGAAATAGAATCTGCCAGTAGAAGTAACTAACATTCTTCATCACATTGCCAAGGCACTGAATTGCTAGATTTTATTTCTTCTAGCAAAGCAAGGCCCTCCCATCCTTGGGGATTACAAACAGACATGGATTTTGGGCTGGACAAGGAAATACAGTGACGCATGGCAGAGATTCAGATGGGAAACAAGTTAAAGGCACAGTAGTAATACTAGCGCAGGGTGCTTTTCACTAGTAATTATGGTCTCCTAAGCAGTGCCGCATGATTTAGACCAAAGAACTTAGCTTTGGATTTGGGATCTCATTCTTCGCTCAATAGCCACAGGGACTGGGGTGCGTAATCTCAAGTCACTGAGCCTCAGCTTCCTCATCTGCAACATGAGAGGACAGCCCTAAAGTCCTGTGAGTGTAATACTTGGATGCTGTGATGCAGCCATGAAGATGAGCTCTGGCTCTCCTGCCTAGAACTTCAATGGAAGTAGGCAGTTGGCTACATGAGAATGCATAAGTCTTCTGCCACATTAAAAATGTTAATGTGCGGCCAGGTGCAGTAGCTCGCACCTGTAATCCCAGCACTTTGGGAGGCTGGGGCAGGTGGATCACTTGAGACCAGGAGTTCGAGACCAGCCTGGCCAACATGGTGAAACCCAGTCTCTACTAAAAATGCAAAAATTAGCCAGGTGTGGTGGTGCATGCCTGTAATCCCAGCTGCTTGGGAGGCTGAGGCACGAGATGCTTGAACCCAGGAGGCGGAGGTTGCAGTGAGTCGAGATCACACGACTGTACTCCAGCCTGGGCAATAGAGCGAGACCCAGTCTCAAAAAAAAAATGTTAATGTGCTTGATTTTTGTGTATCCCTCTCTCTTTGTATTGCTGGAAAACATTGAGCATCTTGGTACATGCCTGGGAAATGAGAGGAGGTAGGAAGGAGGTTCTCAGGGAGGGCAGCTGGTGGGAATCGTGCTGGAGGCGTGTATGGAGTGACATTGGTAAACAAGCCACTGCCAGGTGTTATCCTTGTTTATTTTTTTAAGTTGTGGCTCCAATCCTAAATTATTTTATAAGAAGGGACAGTTAGAAAATAACAGTCCAGGAGGATTAGGTTCCTGGCCAAGATGATTCCAGGATCATCTGGAAAAGCAGCTGCAGCTACAAAGAGAAATGGCCAATTGCTGGGAATCGTAAGTCAGGTAGGGTCTGGGTTAGGAATACTTACACCTTCTAGGAGGAAGAAGGTAGAACAGCTTCTGTTTTTTGGAGGCAAGCACTTGAGCTGAAGAGGTTAAGGCAGTTTTAGTGCCTCTGAGTTCATTCCAGAAGGGTGGAGATTTTTGATGCCACAGATGAGGCACTGCTGGGCCCCTGTATAAGCACTTGTAGGCGTTCAAAGTGCAAAGGCCCAGCGGTTCCTCACTGAGTCCCTGCAGGGGTGGCAGGAGGACAGGCAGAGCTTCTGACCCCACACAGCTGTGTCTTCCCACAGTGAAGACGCTGGTTACTGCAAGACGGCTGCTTCCAGAGCCACTCTCACCCTCAGGAAATTTGCCGGCTCTTTCCTTGTTCCTCTTGTTTGATCCAGGGAAACCGGGACTTCTTGATGGAAAGAACAGGTTGCTCCTGGCCAAGCAGGGGCTGCAGCTGCATGTCTTTGCTCCAGAGAAAATCCACCCTCCCTAGGAGGAAGGAGGCTTTTGGCCGTAAGGACTTCCCAGCCACAGAGGCGGCTGCAGGGTGGCTGAGTTCCAGACGCCCTCTAGATCCCAGTCTGAGCATTCAATCTGGTCTAGCAGTTTCTTTCTTTCTTGTTAACGTTTTAATTTTTGTAGAGATGGGGTCTTGTTATGCTGCCCAGGCTGGTCTTGACCTCCTGGCCTCAAGTCATCCTCCCGCCTTGGCCTCCCAAAGTGCTAGGATTACAGGCCCGAGCCACTGTGTCCTGCCCGGTCTAGGCATTTGTGAAGAGCGGGGCTGGGGAACAGGACTCTGAATCTCTGCGTGGGTGACTTCCACTCTTCTGAGAGTGAGTGCTGTCAACTACATGACTTGGGTCAGTAGACAAGATGTTCCTTGGGGTTCTGAAAACATGTCATTCTGTGGGTTCCTTTCATAACCTACAGGGCCAGAAGGGGCTGCATGCTCTGGGACCGGGGAAGGAGCAGAGGCTGAAAGCACTGATTGATTCAGGCCCTAGTTGAAAGTTGGCCCTTCCCCGGAGCAGGAAACCAAGGCCCCAAAGAGAGAGAGGACTTGGATAAAGTCACACATATACTTAGTGATGGGGCCAGGACCAGAATCTAGACTTCCAGATTCTTATTTCCGCACCCTCTCCCTCTTACACAGGGAGCAGTGAGCGTGCAGGGCAGCCCAGAGGCACCCCCACAGGCTGCAACTGCTGGGCTAGAATGTCCAGAGCCCCAGCCTTGCTGGGTCTTACACTACACCAATCCTACACCTACATCCTTCACTATGCCCTTGCAAGAGCCTTCATCCCTGCCCTCATCTTGGCTCCTTTCCCCATAGTTTACACGCTGATCCATGTTCCTCAGCTGTCACATTCCCTAAACTGCTGGTCAGGTGAAGGTCCCTTCCCAAGTTTTATTTTGTTTTGTTCTTTGTTTTTTGAGACAGAGTCTTGCTCTGTCACCCAGATTGGAATGCAGTGGCGTGATCACGGGTCACTGTAGCATTACCCTCCCAGGCTCAAGTGATCCTCCCACGTCAGCCTCCTGAGTAGCTGGGATTACAGGTATGCACCATCATGCCTGGCTAATTTTGTTTATATTTTGTAGAGATGGAGTCTCACTATGTTTCCCAGGCTGGGCTTGAACTCCTGGACTCAAGCGATCTGCCTCCTTGGCCTCCCAAAGTGCTGGGATTACAGGCGTGAGCCACTGTGCCCAGGCCCCTCCCAAGTTTTGACAGTGGTTGTTTTCTAGGTTTCAGAGCTCTTGGGAAGGAAAACTTTCTGGGAGAGTGAGTCTTTGAAGATGAAAGAATATGGGAAGAGAAGGGCATTTGAAGTCCTCCATGAGGCTCCTAGAAGTGGAAGAAATGCTTCCAGCAAGCACAGGCGGCAGACCTGGCTGGGTGTGCAGGGCACACGTCATTGCCTCTGGTGCACCCGGGTTCAGGCTGGTCACCCTCGAAATAACTGTTCACTCATTAGGAGGTGTGACTATCACCTGACCGTGGGAAGCCAAGTTTGACTGCTCAGATGGTAAACCTCTGAGTGCTTTGGATTAAATTTTGCTGATTTTCTGTACTCTGACCGCTTTTCCTCCCATGCCCCATGGCTCCTGGCTCCCTGTGCTGTGCTGCTGCCCACCTTCGCCCCTTGCCAGCATGTACACAGATGTACATGCGGCCTCACATATACGTGCCCATGCATGCGGACATGTGCTTCTTTGCCTGTGGAAGGTGGTAGTAATAGTCGTTATTTCAGTGGGATGTTGTGAGGATTAAATAGGGCCATTCGTGCAAAGTGCATGCACAGTGTCAGCATTTAATACATCATGGCCATGATGAACTATGGGCATGCACCTAGTTCCCACCTCTGACAAATAGATATAATAATATATCTGCATCATAAGCCTATTGTGAGGATTAAATGGGGTGACGCACGTTGTAGCTTCCTGTGAAATGCAGAATGCCTTATGCATTGAAGGCAGCGATGTAATGAAGAGAGAACCAGCATCACTGATTCAACACACGTCGTCGTCGTCTTCTTTTTTTTATTTGAGTTGGAGTTTTGCTCTTGTCGCCCAGGCTGGAGTGCAATGGTGCGATCTTGGCACACTGCAACCTCTGCCTTCCAGGTTCAAGCGATTCTCCTGCCCCAGACTCCCTAGTAGCTGTTATTACAGGCACCCGTCACCATGCTTGGCTAATTTTTGTATTTTTAGTAGAGACAGGGTTTCGCCATGTTGGCCAGGCTGGTCTCGAACTTCTGACTTCAGGTGATTCACCTGCCTCGGCCTCCCAAAGTGCTGGGGTTACAGGTGTGGGCCACTGTGCCTGACCCAACACACGTCTTCTTAAGAGGAGCAGAATGTACACAAGGGTCTCATCCTATTTCCAACTCTTGGGCTTTTAAGGTATCTGGCAGTGTTTCTGGCCAACGACACTCAGTAAGTTCTTTGAGATATCCACCCCGGAAGCCCTATCCTGCCTTTCTGTGTCCCCTGGGAATACGTCCTGTCAGGGTTTGCTGCTGGAGGCCCTAGGTTCTGCAGCCAAGTTAAGCTTCAGTACAAAACGAGGGACCTTCCTGCTTAGGTGGCCATCCCTCTATTTCATGTATCTTTCTTCCTAGCAGCCACTGAGCCTGTGTCCCCTTGTGCTTCTGTAGCCAATGAAACTGTGTCTGGATGGGGACTTGGGTTCACCTCACTGCTTCCTCCCAGTCTACGGCAGCCAAATTGCTGGCATGGGTGGGTCCTTGGCCGGCAGCCCTCTGGCTGAGAATCTGGACTTAATTCATGGTTGGCCAAAAGGCAGCCCAGCAAAGACCGAGGCTGCTCGAAGCTGCCTGTGGGTGGGAATGGGACTGGCTTCCTCCCTGTTGCCTCAGCGAGCCTCCCCTGGCTATGGCAGTCACTGCTTTTCTGGTCTGGAGGCTGTCTCTCCCTAAAGCAGTGGCCCTTGTCGTTTAATTTGGTGCCTCCCAACTTCCTCCCAGAGGACCTCCCTGCATAGGGTTTAGGCAAAGTCTTTTGGTGAGCCACAGAGCCCTTCCTAAGTTTCCTCCCTCAGCCTGGGTTCGTTCTGTGAACAGCCCCACAACCTCCTAGGAAGAAGGGCCTGGCTGGAAGGTGCTGGGCCTGGTGAGGTTGGAATGAGACGAGCTGGAATGTTCCATAGGATGCCCTTTCTTCCCTTCAGGTCCTTTCTGTCATTGTCTCTAACTTTGGGCTGGCTTCTGCTTCTCCCCCACCCGGCAGGACCTGTGTGGAGCCACCACCTGTGACACCCTGGGCATGGCCGATGTGGGCACCATGTGTGACCCCAAGAGAAGCTGCTCTGTCATTGAGGACGATGGGCTTCCATCCGCCTTCACCACTGCCCACGAGCTGGGTAAGGCTGGATAAGCTCCTCTTGGGGTCTTCTGGGTTTGCCTGGGACGCCCTGGAGGGTGGGAGACACGTGTCTTTGCCCCTCGTGTTCTGAAGCCTCAGGACCCCTTCTCAGGGCACAGTGAGCCTTAGCAGCAGCTTTGTTGTACTTTTTCCGATTGCTGCAGCCCCACTGGCCGGTGATGTGGTTTGAGCCCCTCAGTAGAGTGTCTCAGCACTTAGGCACTGTGGGGACACCATGTTAACGACACGGAGGTACATTCTGTTGTCAGGGAGCCCACAGCCTGATGCAGGGGACAGAAAACACAAGAACATGATCTTGAGGACATTTGAAAGCAGTCTGTTGATAGGTGGCAATGACCAGCCTGAAAACCGCAGACATATGCTTTCTAGTTCCCCTGCCCCATTCCTCCCTCCAACCCCCATGTCCTTGCTCCTGCCCTCTCAGTCCTCTTGCCTCACCCGACAGGCCACGTGTTCAACATGCCCCATGACAATGTGAAAGTCTGTGAGGAGGTGTTTGGGAAGCTCCGAGCCAACCACATGATGTCCCCGACCCTCATCCAGATCGACCGCGCCAACCCCTGGTCAGCCTGCAGTGCTGCCATCATCACTGACTTCCTGGACAGTGGGCACGGTAAGCCGGGACGGCGGGAGGGCAGTGAGGCCGCCTCGGAGGAGGCTTTGCTGCTGCCCCTGGTGGAGGTGCCCACTTCTCCGTCCTCTGTACCTTAGGTGTGTGTGCCCCCTCGGAACTGGGCTCTGACATGAGTGCATTCCTGTTGCCCTGGGCTAGCCAAACCTCATCTTCCCAGCTCATCCTAACGAACGCCCTCGGCTCTCTGCAGGTGACTGCCTCCTGGACCAACCCAGCAAGCCCATCTCCCTGCCCGAGGATCTGCCCGGTGCCAGCTACACCCTGAGCCAGCAGTGCGAGCTGGCCTTTGGCGTGGGCTCCAAGCCCTGTCCTTACATGCAGTACTGCACCAAGCTGTGGTGCACTGGGAAGGCCAAGGGACAGATGGTGTGCCAGACCCGCCACTTCCCCTGGGCCGATGGCACCAGCTGTGGTGAGGGCAAGTTCTGCCTCAAAGGGGCCTGCGTGGAGAGACACAACCTCAACAAGCACAGGGTGAGTGAATTCTGGAGCTGTGCTTGGGACTGCTGGGAGGAGGGACGGAGACCTGGGGGCCTCCCCTGCCCTTGGTCTTCACCAGGAAGCTGCCTAGCACAGATTGGCCACGGGACCATCACTGTTGCATTGCTGAGCTGTGCCTTCACTGCCCTCTATATGGTCCTGTCCCCTTCTTGACTCTAAGACTGGAGAGAGAAGCTGTGGCAGGTCAGAGGACTTGGAGAGGCCTCAGACACATGGAGAAAAGCCTTCAACGGGAGGTGGGGTCTCAGCCCTGAGCTCCAGGCCTCGTCCTACCTGGGGAGGAGCTCTGGGCTCAAAGCTGAACACCTAGTGTTAGAAGCGGCTCACTCGCTGGCTCCTCCCTTCCTTCCCACATCCACTCTTTCCCAGCGTGTTGCACACCCAGGGAGCTGGGGACCATGCGCAGGAACAGGCCTTAGAATTGCAGGGAAGCAAAGCCCTGGGCGAGCTTCAGGAACTGGCTGCATTCTGAACCAAGCGTCCATTTCTGTTGCAATTGCTGTTTTTCTGTAGCAGAAACATAGTTGAACAATACTTGTTTTCCCTCCTGATAAACAGAAATAGCAGCCAAACACGAACACATCCAGAATCCCAAATATTCTCTGAATGTAATAACTCTATCTTCCTCAGGTCTCGTTTTGGGGGTAGGAGAGGAATTTGTACTTTTCTGGGCAGGAAGAAGAGGTCTGTCGTTCTCCTGGATCCTGGAGCTGACTGTCCCTTCCCATCCCTGTTCTCAGCTTGGGGAGGACTTGCCTCTGGGCACAGAGTCAACGTCACAAAAAAGCATCCACCAAGCACATTATCAATTGCCCTGAGTTGAGTATGGCACAGAATTATTTAAAATATTTTTCTGTGTTCTGGGGATACATATCTAATTAAACCTTAACCGTTTGCTAGGCAACAACCCACTGTGTTCAGGGAACTAGGTAAGATACTGTGGTGGTCAGAAAAAGAAATAAAACACAGGCCATGCCTCAGAGAGCTCATAGTCAAGTGGGGAAGCTCGAAATGTGGCTGTGAAACAAGATGCAGAGAGGCACGTGTTATGCAGAAGGACAGAAGAATGAAAATATGTCACAGGAGAACAGGGGTCAAGAGATTAATGATGATGAGAGGGGACTGAGAAAACTTGGAGGAGGAGGTTAGATTTGAAGAGAGCCTGAGGGATAAGTAGGATCCCTGTAGGCAGAAACAGAGCAAGGCAGGGAGGTCCTGGGCGAGTCAGAGTGAGCTGCAGGGCTGCGTAGATGAAGGCTCTGTGGGAACTGCCTTCGGGAAGGTTGTTTGGGGCCAGACGGCAGCCATCTTGATTGCCAGGCGCTAGAAGGTCCTGAGGACAGGCAGTATGTGGTCAGTACCTCCTCCTGGGAAGATGAGGCTGGAGGATGCAGAGACAAGTTGAGATAATATTGGATAGAGAAAATGCGGTCTGAGAAGTACCATCTTTCCACACTTCCTGGAATTCTCAGTCTATGATTAGGCAAGATCTACCTCCTCCACCTCTTAAAATCCCTTGGTCACCCTGTTTTAACTGAAACTTTCCAGGAAACCTTCATGGAAGTCACTGCCCTCATTGGCCGAGGTCAGATCGTAAAGTATGTCTTACAAATCACTGCAGCTCCCGCAGATCTGTTTCAGGAATCCCATTCTGACCACCAAGGCCCTGTCTTCCCAGATTACTCCCTCTGGGATTTGGATTCCAACAATTCCTCAATCCCATCTGGACCTACAATCCATTGCTACAACCTTTCCATCATGCCTCACCCTTCTTGTGCCCTCACCTCCTCCTTCGTGAGCTGAAATTCCACAGTCCTTTTTTGAAATCACTGCCTCGCATACACTCTTGACTCCCTTGCCCCTGTCTGTTTGCATCAAACTCACTTGGATAAGCCACCATCTGGGGTGACTCCAACTCACTCACCCATTCAATTGTGCTTACACAGGTGACTATGGTTCGAGAAAAACATGCAATTGTGCTCACTGGTCTCAGTTTAAATTCGTGATCTGAGCTGGGCACAGTGGCTCACACTTATAATCTCAGCACTTTGGGAGGCTGAGGCAGGAGGATCCCTTGAGCCCTGGAATTTGAGACTAGCCTGGGCAACATGGCAAAACCCCCTCTCTACAAAAAATACAAAAATTAGTGGGACGTAGTGGCAGATGCTTGTCCTTGCAGCTACTCAGGAGGCTGAGGCAGAAGGATCACTTGAACATGGGAGGCAGAGGTTGCATTGAGCCATGATCACGCCACTGCACTCCAACCTGGGTGACAGAGTGAGATCCCATCTCAAGGAAAAAAAAAGAAAAAAGAAAAAAGAAAGAGAAAAAGTAAGAAAAAAGTAAAATAAATTGATGACCCGGAAGTTTAGGTGGGCCCATAATGCTGTCCAGGAGTCACATTATTTCATTTCCCCAGTTGGTTACTCTCCCAACCTCCTGAACCATTAGTTCACACCCACCATCACCTCTTTCCTCCCATTACCAACTCTTTCTTCCTCCTTTTCAACTTTCACCAATGACCTTTCTTCTCATTTCCCAAAGGGAAAAAAAAAATCAAGTAATCAGAAGGGAACTTCCACCCACCCCCGACCTGCTTCTGCGCGTGTTCTCCACTGTCCCCTTTACCGTGGCTGAATTGTCCCTGCTCTGATCTGAGGCCGCGCTGTGTGCTTTGCACAGGAACCCCATCCCCTCTCGCTTGTTAGGGACATTGCTGATCAATTCTCTGTCTCCTGCTGTGCCAGTATTTCCCAATCTTGAGCTGAATCATGCCTTTTAGAATACAAATCTGTTGTCATTTCTCCCATCTGAAGCAAAACTTCTTACGATCCCACTTCCTTGGTGGTCTGTTTCTCTGACTGCCTTCACAGCAAGTTCCCGGAAGGAGTTGTACAAGCTTGCTGTCTCCAATTCCATCTCCCCACTTTTCTCTGCTGCCCATTCCAGATAGGCTTGGACTACCACCATTTCTCCAAAACAACTCTTATTAAGGCTACCAAATGGCCTGCACACCACGAAGGTCAGTGACTGTTCCCTTTCCTCCCATCGCCCAGCAGGCCAGCAGCATTTGTGGCAAGCCAGAGCTCTGGCCCCTGGAACGGGGTCTCTGCTGCCTCTCGGTTGCCCTCCTCCCCTTCTCATTACCTTTACTGCTTCTTCCTTATGCTCTCATTTTCTTTTCTTTTCTGTTTTTGAGATGGAGTTCCGCTCTTGTTGCCTAGGCTGGAGTACGGTGGCTTGATCTCGGCTTACTGCAACCTCTGCTTACCGGGTTCAAGCGATTCTCCTGCCTCAGCCGCCTGAGTAGGTAGGATTACAGGTGGCTGCCACCATGCCAGGCTAATTTTTGTATTTTTAGTAGAGACGGAGTTTCACCATGTTGGTCAGGCTGGTCTCGAACTCCTGACCTCAGGTGACCCGCCCGCCTCAGCCTCCCCAAATGTTCGGATTACAGGCGTGAGCCACCGCGCCCGGCCTGTACTCTCATTTTCTAAAGTGTGGAGTGCTTCGGCACTCAGTCCTTTCCCTCTTCACCATCCACACTCAGTCTCTTCGCTGATTCATCTAGACCATGGCTTTCAATACCATCTAGAGCTTGAAGACTCCCAAATTTGCATCTTCAGCCCAGGCCTCGCTCCTGACCTGCAGACTTGCATCTGTAAGGGAATCTGGACGTGTCCATTGGACACCTGCTTAGTATCTTATGCATGTGTCGGTGAGACTGAGCTCCTGGTCATCCCCCCTGAAGCTGCGCTGGCAACTCCACGTTCCGGTTGCTCAAGCTGAAACTCTGTTTCTCTCATATGCTTCACAGCCTGTATCTCCACGTCCCTGTGGGGCTATCTTCAAGGCAGATCCAGGATCATTTCTCAGCACTTCATCTGCTCTCACCCTGGCCCCAGCCACCACCCCCCGTCCCCTGGATTAATGCAGTTACCTCTAACTGGTCTCCCTGCTTCTGCTCTTACTCCTTACAGATGATTCCCACCGTGGCAGCTCTGTTGAAATGCACCTTAGGTTATGCCGCTTCTCTGCTCCGCACCCTTTAGGGGCTTTGCCATGGCTCAGAATGAGCGATCCCATTTCTCGCTGCCTTGTTGGCCCTAGTGACAGTGGCGCACTTCAGGCTCATCCCCCGCCCCTCAGGGCCGGTGCACTTGCTCCCTCTGCTTGGAATGCCCTTTCTCTGATGTCTGCATGGCTTATGCCACCTGTACATCCTTCAGGCACAAGAGAGTTCCCCGTAATCCAGAGCAGCCCTTCCCAACTCCTCCCTCCCCCCTGCTTGGAAGCCCAGCCTCCACTCTGTGCTCACAGATTCATTTTTATTGTCTGTCTCCCCACTAGGGAGTAATTGCCCTGAGGGCAGGGACTTGCACGAGTGTTTGGTGAAGGAATGAGTGAATGGCATAGGGCGGGAGCAGAGTGAATGTTTTTTGTACGAATGGTAAGCAGTGATACCAAATAAAAACCAGGTAGCCTTGTCTCAGAAGCTGCAGGAACAGTGCTACACGCTGAAGAAGAATTGGAGATCACGAGGCCTAGGCACACTCTTTTAGTCTTCACATGGCCGTTGTGGCTTTTGAGAGGGCAGCTTCCGGGGTGTGATGGGGACAAAACCCACAGTGCCAGGCTCTGGGGAGTGAGTATGAGGAAAGAGCCAATGTGGGTGACGCTCTCAGGGAGTGAAAGGATGGAATGAGGTGAGGCACTAGTTTGAGTAGTTTGAGGCCAAAGCAGGGTTGAAGGAGGGTGCTGGTGGTTGTTTTTTATAGGATCAAACAGATGTGGACGCAACGAAACAAGAACTATCTGACAAAAGGGTAGATTGAATAAATATGCTGGATATGTACACAGGTTAAAGTGTTTCTATGACATGCAGCCAGTTCCTGCTTAGTTCCATGTGAGTTAGGCACTGTGTGGACGGTCGGTGGCAGAGTTGTAATTCCAGGCGAGTACAGCAGCTGGGCTGCTTCCTCTGTTGCTCAACTGATGTGTGTTCAGAGGATCCACACTCGTTTCACTGTCATTCTAAGGAAAACATCAGTGATACCGTAAATTTTATTCTCTTTCTACCCTGTTAAAAAAAAAACTAGAAAAAAAAAAAAGCCCTCCAAAACACTGCACAATTCACCCCGAAGCCAAATAGAGTTTTAGGATTGCTTAATAGTGTCTTATCTTTATCTCTTCTTAAAAGAAACATTCGAATGGTTCATGGTGAAAGTTTCTCAAATACAGCCCCCGATCGAGGTTAAGATCAGTTTGGTCTGGCGTCGAGTCTGAATTATCGAACACTAAGGAATAAAAACATTCACATATCTATGGTGACATTTTTTATCCGTAAGGCTGGGGGCTGGCCATGCCTTAGAGATGCCTGTGAATGCACTGACAACAAATAAAGGGAACGTCTTTTGTTTTTTCTTTTATTCCCGGCAAGCTGTGGGATTCGAGGAATCTCTGAACTTCTGCCGGGGCCAGCGGGGTACTGGGAATTTTCATGACCATTAGGCCACTTCTATCATCCACCTGATATCAGGCCCGAGTATTATTAGTATTATCCACCCCATTTTTGCAAGTGAAGCCCTGGAAGGCTAAGGAGGATTTGCCATTGCTCAAGCCCACTAGGGTGGTGTGGTATGGGCGGAGTCCATTGAAAACACGTCTGGCTGGGCGCGGTAGCTCACGCCTGTCATCCCAGCACTTTGGGAGGCTGAGATGGGCGAATCACTTGAGGTCAGGAGTTTGAGACCAGCCTGGCCAACATGGGGAAACCCCGTCTCTATTAAAAATACAGAATAATTAGCTGGGCATGGTAGCAGGCAGCTGTAATCCCAGCTACTTGGGAGGCTGAGGCTGGAGAATCACTTGAACCTGGGAGGTGGAGGTTGCAGTGAGCCAATATTGCACCATTGCACTCCAGCCTGGGCAAAAGAGGGAGACTCCGCCTCAAAAAAAAAAAAAAAAAAAAAAAAAAAAAAAAAAGAAACACGTCTGTATCACTCCACCGCCCAGTGAGGCCTCTCTTTTTTTTTTTTTTTTTTTTTTTTTGAGACGGAGTCTCGCTCTGTCGCTCTGTCGCCCAGGCTGGAGTGCAGTGGCGCGATCTCGGCTCACTGCAAGCTCCGCCTCCCGGGTTCACGCCATTCTCCTGCCTCAGCCTCCCGAGTAGCTGGGACTACAGGCGCCCACAACCGCGCCCGGCTAATTTTTTGTATTTTTAGTAGAGACGGGGTTTCACCGTGGTCTCGATCTCCTGACCTTGTGATCCGCCCGCCTCGGCCTCCCAAAGTGCTGGGATTACAGGCGTGAGCCACCGCGCCCGGCCGAGGCCTCTCTTTTGCATGGCCTCCTTTGCATCTGGGAGCAGCTGCTGTTTGCTAGTTAGTTGGTTGGAACGTTGGGTGGGCTCGGTGTACACTGGCCATTTGCTTATTGTTTTTTTCTTCATTATACAACATGAATTTTATTCCGGGAAGGTGGGATGAGAACTTGAAGGCTGTACAGTGCAGCTTTTCTATGGGCTAAGGGGCTGGGTGTGGCACTTGGGTCCGCCAAGGAGTATAACAGGCTCTTCCTCACAGGTGGACGGTTCCTGGGCCAAATGGGAGCCCTATGGCCCCTGCTCGCGCACATGTGGCGGGGGCGTGCAGCTGGCCAGGAGGCAGTGCACCAACCCCACTCCTGCCAACGGGGGCAAGTACTGCGAGGGAGTGAGGGTGAAATACCGATCCTGCAACCTGGAACCCTGCCCCAGCTCAGGTGAGGCGGGGAGAGCAGCGGTGGCCTGGGCCCAGGGGAGGCAAGGCTGGAGGTCACCCCTACCCCACCCCTACTCCATGTAATGCAAGGCCTCCAGGTAATTGGGTATACAGGTAATTCAGGTAGGCTGGTATTTCTGTCATGGATTCCTATTGATGACGAAGGGACTGCAGTCAAGATTCTAACCTTCAGGACAAAGCCTGGAAGTGGAGAGGTGCAGATTCTTCTTGGGATCATTCCTCTTTCCACTCACCTTTGGCAAGGGTGTTTCCTTCTGGATGCTTAGCCTGGGAGACTAAATGGATCATGGGAATGAGACACTAGAAGTCCTCTTAGCTGAGGCCTGCCCAGCCCATCTTTGTAAGCAGGAGTCCAGAGCCCAATAACTTGGTGGGGAAAAAAATGACATCTATATTTTTATTAATGTCTCAATCTAACATTTAGTATTTCTTTCAGAGAGAAATTAGTATTTTTTTTAAACTACCTTTCTATCTGAAATTTAGTATTTCTTTCAGTTAGACAACAAAACTACAATAGTAGTAGAAGTACCTGTGACTTTGTCATCAATAGGAATCATGGATATTTGATGACATGACATTTTGGTTGTTGCAGAATTTTCAAAATGCTGTTTAAGCTCATCCTTACTTCAAAATTATAGTAGTTATCAGGTTCATTACTGAATCATATATATGTATATTTACTTTTTTGAGACAGAGTCTCACTCACTCTGTTGCTCAGGCTGGAGTGCAGTGGCGTGATCTCGGCTCACTGCAACCTCCACCTCCCAGGTTCAAGCGATTCTCCCGCCTCAGCCTCTTGAGCAGCTGGGATTGCAGGCGCCTGCCAACATGCTTGGCTAATTTTTGTATTTTTAGTACAGATGGGGTTCCACCATGTTCGTGAGGCTGGTCTTGAACCCCTGACCTCTGGAGATCTGCCCGCCTCGGCCTCCCAAAGTGCTGGGATTACAGGCATGAGCCACTGTGCTCGGCCCTGAATCATATTTAATGCATTAACAAAAAAGCACATATATCACAGACTTGTTTCAAAATATATTGATAGTTGTGTAGCAGATGTAACTGGTGTTGTCGTTAATCTGTGTAATTTACTTTATGCACTGAGTTACGTTACTCTGAAAATAGTTTGCAACCTAGAGGGAGTTTGAGGCTGGGTTACTGGAGAAGGTGGTGCATAGCTCAGGGGATGTGTTTTCATCTGCACCCTGGGTCCTTTTGGGCCCAGCTTGCTTTAGTGCTGTGAGATGTAGAGGAGGTTGCAGCTTTGGTGACAAGGGTGGGAAGGGCTAAGAGAGCCATGGCAGGCTGGGCGAGAGGCTTGCCCTTTGCACTGGCCTCAGCCCTTCCCTTCAACTTCTTTCTTATGCTTCTCCCTCCCTAGCCTCTGGAAAGAGCTTCCGGGAGGAGCAGTGTGAGGCTTTCAATGGCTACAACCACAGCACCAACCGGCTCACTCTGGCCGTGGCATGGGTGCCCAAGTACTCAGGCGTGTCTCCTCGGGACAAGTGCAAGCTCATCTGCCGAGCCAATGGCACTGGCTACTTCTATGTGCTGGCACCCAAGGTGAGTGAACCTGGGGCCTGAGAACAAAGCAGGGACCAGGTCTTTGGAGGAGCATTGGCTGAGCTGCGCTGCTCTTCCTTCTTTTTCCCCTTCTGGGGCACTGCAGGTGGTGGACGGCACGCTGTGCTCTCCCGACTCCACCTCCGTCTGTGTCCAAGGCAAGTGCATCAAGGCTGGCTGTGATGGGAACCTGGGCTCCAAGAAGAGGTTCGACAAGTGTGGGGTGTGTGGGGGAGACAATAAGAGCTGCAAGAAGGTGACAGGACTCTTCACCAAGCCCATGTGAGTTGGGGTCCTGGAAGGTGCTGCCAGGGAGCAAAGGGAGGGAGGTGGAATTTCCCAGGGCATTGGAAGCTTGGGTTAGATTGGGGTAAATGTCAGATCCAGCCAGTACCCTTGCTGCAGAGGCCCCCCATCTAGGGCTGCTCGTCCTTCACTCACTCATTCGTTCATTCTTTCAACAAACAAAGACGAATGCTGGGGAAGACCCACTTAAAAGAGGAAGACCCACTTCAGGAAGGTGGGCAGAGTTGTTAGGGTCTGTATAATGTTCTAGAGTAAGACCGACCTGATTCAGATCGCAGTTACCCATTTTCTGGATGACCTGGGCAAAGGAACTTAATCTCCAGGTCTCTAGATGTCCCTACTTGTAAAGTGGGTATAATACTAATATATTTCATGTGTGAGGAATAAGGGAGTTAGTCCAAGTAACATAGTTAGCATCATACCTGGTGCATAATAAATGCCCAATACTCCTTCACCTTGATGAGGCTGAACGTGACAGCTGCCAGGCTCTCCCTGGACTTGAGGCCCTGACCTTGGGGATCAGACTGAGGTGAGAATGGCAATAAACTGCCAAGAGACAGCGAGTGAGTGGCTGGGACTGAAGGAGGCCTCACGTCTTGGACAATCCCTGGGCATCTAGTCCTAGCTGCAGAATCTGGGCCTCCAGCTTGAGCTTCCTGAGGTCAAACACATGCTCCTTGGAAAGCCCTGATCCACGTGCTGGAGGAAGAGGGGGTGGCAGGGCACCTGAGGTCCCAGCTGGGAGTGGGGGCTATGGTTGGCCCGGAAAATTTGGGAGTCCAGGTGCTGGTGATGGAAAGGCCTAGATGGCTGTCCTGGAGCCTTAACTGTGCTCCTGGACACAACACCCTCTCCTGAGCCCTTGGGTGGTGATGCGCAGGGAGGATGCCCAACCCTGTCTCTGGGAGCTCGGCACCAGGGACAGATGGCATTCCAGGCTGTGCTTCGCAGGGACCTGTGGTGGGGAGGCCACATGGGGAGTAGGAGGTACATACCCCAGGCTCGCCTCACTGGTTAAATGGCAGATGTTCTTTTCACAGCCTGTTGGAGCTGGAAGGAGCCTTAGAAATCATTTAGCTTAACCCACTCATTATGCAGATGAGAACACCAGAACCCAGAGACACTGGCTTGCTTAAAATTGCCAGGAGTTGGCGTGTGAGCCAGGCTGGATCTGCGTCCCTGCCTCCAGGGCCAGTGTCCTCTCACCAGGTTGAGCTCCTAGCCTCAGGCTCCAGGATGGTGGACTTATCCCTCCGCCTCACCCCTGGTAATCCTCCTCGTCCTCGTCCTCGTCCTCACGGCAGATGTCTACACATGCTTGCTGTGTGCCAGGCACCATGCTACATGCTTTATGTGCTTTGGTGGACTCAGTCCTCCCTGCAGTTCAATGAGGTGTGTGGAATTCTGAGCTCCACTTTACAGGTGAGGACATGGAGGCTTGGAGAAGCTCAGCACCTTACCCAGCACCAATCGCCAAGGGGCAGGGACCTCTCTGACTCCCAAACCTGTGCTTTCCCTCCCATGCCAGAATTCACCAAAAGCTAGGTTTACTGAGGAAACAGATCCTGGAGCGGTGAGGTCCTCAGGCCCAGGCTTCTGTCTAATGCACAACCCCCCTTTCCCACCCCAGGCATGGCTACAATTTCGTGGTGGCCATCCCCGCAGGCGCCTCAAGCATCGACATCCGCCAGCGCGGCTACAAGGGGCTGATTGGGGATGACAACTACCTGGCTCTGAAGAACAGCCAAGGCAAGTACCTGCTCAACGGGCACTTCGTGGTGTCCGCAGTGGAGCGGGACCTGGTGGTGAAGGGCAGCCTGTTGCGGTACAGCGGCACTGGCACAGCGGTGGAGAGCCTGCAGGCCTCCCGGCCCATCCTGGAGCCGCTGACCGTGGAGGTCCTCTCCGTGGGGAAGATGACACCGCCCCGGGTCCGCTACTCCTTCTATCTGCCCAAAGAGCCTCGGGAGGACAAGTCCTCCCATCCCAAGGACCCCCGGGGCCCTTCTGTCCTGCACAACAGCGTCCTCAGCCTCTCCAACCAGGTGGAGCAGCCGGACGACAGGCCCCCTGCACGCTGGGTGGCAGGCAGCTGGGGGCCGTGCTCTGTGAGCTGCGGCAGCGGCCTGCAGAAGCGGGCGGTGGACTGCCGGGGCTCCCCGGGGCAGCGCACGGTCCCTGCCTGTGATGCAGCCCATCGGCCCGTGGAGACACAAGCCTGTGGGGAGCCCTGCCCCACCTGGGAGCTCAGCGCCTGGTCACCCTGCTCCAAGAGCTGCGGCCGGGGATTTAAGAGGCGCCCGCTCAAGTGCGTGGGCCACGGAGGCCGGCTGCTGGCCCGGGACCAGTGCAACCTGCGCCGCAAGCCCCAGGAGCTGGACTTCTGTGTCTTGAGGCCGTGCTGAGTGGGGTCATCCCTTTCTCCCCCTCACTCTCCACCCCACTGATGTGCCAGCATTCTGCCAGCTGGAGTAGTGGGCAGAGGACGGTGGCCAGGGGCTCACGCCACGATGTCACCCACATCCAGGGACAAGGACCATGGGCTGGGGCGAGAGGTTCCCTCCTCCTCCCTGGACTGGGCAGAGGGAAGCCCAGAAACTCCCGCACAGTCTACCTCAGGCCCCGCTCCTCGGGCCGGTTGCGGGAAGAGGCTTTGAGGTGCAGGGCAGAAGGTGCTGAGGCCCAGTTTCCAAGGGACCTGGAGGATGGGCACCTTCCAGGCAGAACTTCAGGGACCCCGGCCCCCGGAAGGGAGGCCACAGGCTGCTGGAAGAGCCGTGTCTCAGCAGCTTGGCACCCTCAGGTGGCCCCATGGGCTCTGAGCCGTGTCTGAATGAGGCAGGGTTTTCACGGTGCTTTTAGCCCACCTTCTTTTGTGAACTGACATGGACTAAGCAATAAAAGCTGGCTGGGGCTGGGCAGAAGCCACGGGGAGAATGAGATTAGGGTCCCTGGAGTCTGGCACTTCACCGTGGAATGTAAACGTGGATGTAAACAGGGAGTCCTGAGGTTTCTCGTCCTGCACTCTTGGCCCTCCCTTAAAGAAGCAGCCTTTCCTTCCTCTGGTGTGCAGGGTGTAGGGCTGGTGGGGGGGCTGCCACCGGAGCGTTCTCCGAGGCTCTGCAGGGCGGGGGAAGTCAGTAGGGAGTCTGCTGTCTTCTTCAAGATGGAGCCGGCCATTACAGAAAGACGTTGACATTAGCGAGGGGCGATGGAGTCTGTGGCTGATGCAGGGAGTTTTCGGAAAGTTCTGGAGGGTTCTGCTGTCACTGGACTGGGGTTGGTGCTGAGCTCTGGGCCTGGCTTTGGGGGATGTCACCCTGGGATAGGGAGGAGGAGGCTGCAGTTCTGATGGCTTCCTCCTCCAGAGAGGCACATATATGCAGGCTGACGTCGGAGGGTCTGTGTCCCCTCAGACAGCCCTGACAGTGGCCACAGGCCTGCACCCATTGTGAGGGGGTGGGGCGTGCCTGTGAGGGCTAGGTGCTGAACATCTGTGTGCCTATAAACTCGTCTTCATTCCAACAGCTACTGCTGTCTGCCCTGGGTACGTCACGTTGTATCCCAGGCCTAAGCTTCTCCACTGTTTGCTACCTCAGATTATGCCCTCTAGGAACCCAGCCGTATCCCCCCCCCAGGACAGTGGTGACCTGGTCCTTCCACCACGCTCAGTCTTTGGAGACTGAGCTTCCAGCCACAGAAATGAGGGTGTGGTGTGTGGCTTCCTGCTCCCCACAGCCCAGCCCCCTGCTGGGCTCCAAAGCCAAAGACAAGGCCTCTTTCTTCAGACTCCTTGGGAGTAGGTTTCAGGAGGCACCAAGAATCGATGACGGACCCAGGGGGCCTGGCAGCCACTAGTATGAACTGCTGGAGACCTGTCTGTCTTCTAGACAGGTCAGGAAAATAGAAACAGGCATTTTCTATAGCTCCAAGTGGGGAGCTATTTTGGGGTTAGAGCTTCTTTGGCTAAGCAGGGTGTCTCTTGAAGGTTCGGATGCGCCTGTGCACACGGGATGTTCTGCTTCTGAGTGTAGGTGATGAATCCAGGGCCTCGGTGGAATATTGTATTGAGCTAAGATCAAAGCATGTGTCTTCCTGGAAGAGTTCAGTTCTTTTCTGTGGGTTTCCCTAATAGTCAGAATCCACAAGCCAACTCCCAGCCAAGCCTCTGCAATGATGTTCTCAGCCGGGTCTAGCGCTGGGCTGGAGCCCTTGGACGGAGTTCATGCAGGGGCAGAGGGGGTGCCAGTCTCTGAGGCAGGGCTGCAGTCACCCCTGAAGGACTAAGTGAAGAGGAACCCCTCTGTGCCAGTGGCCACTGTGGGATACAGGGACTGAAGGACTAAGTAACCCCTCTGTGCCAGTGGCCACTGTGGGCTACAGGGACAAAAGGGACCAAGGTACCAGGCAGAAGCAGATCCTCGCTAACTGACGACAGCACTGCGCCCTGTGCTTGGTGCACTCCCTCCTTGAGGAGGAGAGGGTGGCATGGGGGCTGTGCGGGATGGCAGGGGGAGTGGGTGGGTGGGAAGAGAGGTGCCATCGGTAGGAGGCTGGCCTCCGGTAGGGCAGAGCAGCTTTTGTCATCAGTACTTTACAAACCATTTCAAGGAAGGACAACCACTCTGGCTCCTGACACAAGCCAGGCCTCAGTGCTTTTATCTGTTGTGGTGTTTTTTCTTTTTTCTTCTTTCCCCTTTTAAAAGACGCATGACCAAGACAACCTAGGGAGTTTGTCTTGCTTGCCTTTGACTATTTCCTTAATCCAACCATATGCCCTCGAGGGCTCAGCGGAGACTAGACTCAAGGCACAGGTTTCTGGTGATGGAGTAAAGTTACAGCGGCATCTCATGTCTACACAAGAAGAGGAACGTTCTGAAAGCTCCAACAACTTCTTCAGGGGGATGGACCAGTATGGCTTTGGGCCCAGGATTCCCTAGCCTCCTCTGCCCATTGCATGCACTGATTGGAGGAGTCTGGCCCAAACACTCTCAGATGGACCTCGTCATGCTGGAGTGGGGTCTGGCAGGAGCTGATGACAGTTTGAGGGACTTGAGTGTCCCTGGCCTGGCAGTTGCCTCCCAGAAGCACTAGACACTGACACTCACTGGTAGACCCTCCCTCCCCGCCATTCTGTTTGGTTCTTTTGCATTCCATGTACTGCAGAAGGATGGAAGGACCTGGGTGCTGGCTGGGCTGTGTATACTGTGTATACAGGGGAGCTGGCTGCTGAGGTGACCACAGCCTTCTCCTAATAAAGCTGTAAGTATTTAAAACCTGTGTCCTGCCTCTGTGATTGCTTCTCGTTCATGTGTGCATTCCTCACATCCATGGAACGCCCAGCCACGGTGCTAGGAGCTATGGAGACAGCAGTAACCTTGACAGGCATAGTCCTGGTCCTGCGCAGCTCCCAGGTTCGCTGAGGAGGCAGAGCTCAAGTCAGCAAGCACAGAGTTGTGACAGATCATCCTACAAGTGAAGGAGACACCAACTGATGCTGAGAGTGGGAGCTTGGGTGTGGGTGTTTAATTGGATTTGACCTTTTTTCAGAGAGAAGAAGCCAAATCAAGAAAGGAAGAAAAAAGAGCTTGGGTGTGGGAGAGTGATCAGGGAAAGCCCCTAAGAGGAAGGGACAATGAAACAAGATTGAAGGATGAGACAGCAGCCCTGTTAAAAGGGGACAGGGGCCTTGTAGCAGACAAGCAGAAGGCCCAGTTCTGGGGGCCGCTGGGGCAGGGTGTGAGGAGGGCTTGAGAGAAGCTCTGGGGCTGCGCGTGGGTGAGGCGCAAGGCACGGGAGAGGCCAGAGGGGCCCCGTCCTGTGGGCTTCCAGTCTCCTGCCTCAGGAGGAAACCCCGAGTGTCTCGAGGGAAAGGTTCATTCTCTTTGGAGAATGTGTCTCTCTTCCTAGTTTTGTTTTGGTCTGGAAATGCTGGCAAATACGCAGGCATGGGAGAGGTGTGACGCACCGTAAAGAACATCTAGAAACTCGTGTTGGTCGCAGGTCTGAGATCCTCTCTTGGAATCCTCATTTCCTACCTGCAAAGTGAGAAGGGTAGATTCAGTGTTCTGTGAGGGCACTTCCAGCTTTAGCAGTCTGGGCGTATAGGCCGGTTATGGTTCAGATTTTGCTAGCTGATGGTTTGTGTTCAGTTTGGGGTTCAGAGATGAAGGAGTTTCTCCTGTTGACTTTCCAGCAGGGCAAGGCCATAGGGAATGACTTCCTCATGAACTGGGAGAGCTGCCCCTTCAGGCATGTGGGTGAGGGTTGTGGGGAGGTTGGACAAAGTTTCAGCACCTGATAGAAGTTTCTGGAAGAAGGAAGAACTAGCCAGAAGGTCCTGCATCAGTCTAGGAGCTAGCAGAAAGCCCAGAAGGGACCCGCAGGGGTCTGGGTTAATGTCTAAGCTGGAAGTCAGCAATTGTAAGACCTTTCTAAAATTGCTCAAAATGTCATATTCCTGGGGTTATTTTTGTAATCCTTTTTGTTTTCCATTGATGCAATTGCCAGTAAAACCTTTCTAAAGAAAAGGTCCTCTGGGCTGCTTTGGGGATCAGCCAATGAAAGAGGAAGCAGAGGAGGCTGGGTCCCAACTACAGCGGGGTCTGGAGGTTCAGGAGAGCTCCAGGTAAGGCAATGGGGTGTGTGGAGGGCAACAAAGCTGCCTGCATTTTAAAGTTTCTGGAGAAGGAAGGGGCAGTTTCCTATGCTGGCCCTTGAAGAGAGGCAGGAACGATTTGCTTTGTAATCCATCCTCTGGAGAGGAATGTGTTCTTGCCCCAGTGAGAAATAAACCTTGATAATTGCAAAAAGGTGTCGACCCCTGGGTCGTGCTCAGCCTGCCCAGTGAACCCTGGCCAGCCCCCAGCAGGCTGAGCTGGCGTGGCCAAGGGCAGCGCGTGTGACCCAAGCGTCGTTCCTTTGCTCCTTGGCTTGTGTCCAGCCCTCGTGGGTGAGTCAGCGCTGAAGCCTGCAATCCCAGCAACAAATCCCAGAGAAGCAGAACATCCCCCTTCAGGCTCTTCAGACATCACCGCCACGGTGTCACCCTCAGCCCCTGGCCGCTGTGAGAAGGCTACAATGAAATGTTTGCTGCTCCAAAGCAGGAAACTGGGTAGCCAGAAACTCAGCCCTCACCTTCCCCTCCCTCCAGGCCTACCCGTTCGTGCTCAGCTGGGCAGCCCTGCCTTTGTTTTGCTCTCCTGAACTGTGGTCAGTAACGTAAGTCACATTCCAAGCAGTGACCAGAATGTTGTGAAGGAGGAGATAAGAGTTCCCGACCTCCCAAGGCATTCCAAAGAAGAAACAGAACTGTTTGTTTCCAAAGGAGAACAATTTTGGCAGAAAGGGTAGGATAGAGGGAGATGGAGAGAGGAGGAAATCTCCTTGTGAAAAACTGGATTTGGGAAAAGGGTGAAAATATTGTCGTGGGGAATGGCTGGAATTTGATGAGATTTTAGCTGCACTCCTAGGCTGTTAGAAGCAATCGCCTTCATATCATTCCCTGTTCCTGTACCTGGCCACAGTCCCAGACAGTGTCCGGGGGCTTAAGCCACTGCTGTCCCAGACTTCTGACCAGCAGTTCAGATGACCTCAGGGGACTGGGATTCTGGCCTCAGCAGGGAGCACCCCCGGCCTCTGCCCTGGGGAATTGAACAGATACTCCTGACGTGGTTTCGTTGTCGTTGAGGATTTTGAGAAAAGAGCCTTTACGAGTGCTCTGGAAATGTGTTTAGGAGGATAACATGACCTCTCTAAGAACCCTCCCTGGGCTGAGTCTGCAGTGCGTGGGAACCTGGTTCCGTAGCTGCAGTTACACACAGCACCTAGAGCCCAGGGCTTGGGACGACACGGTCAGTGGTCAATGAGTATTTGTGATGCAGAGGCTTCCTTGGGAACATGCACCAAACCAAGAGGGATGAAGGACCCTGTCTTTGGTGGAACTATGGGGACACTTCTCAGTGCGGGCACCGTCTGTCTGTGTACACGGTCCTG